AGTGGCTCTTTTCTGAGGGCTGCACCCATGATGTTCCGTAGTGGCTCTTTTCTGAGGGCTGCACCCATGATGTTCCGTAGTGGCTCCTTTCTGAGGGCTGCACCCATGATGTTCCGTAGTGGCTCCTTTCTGAGGGCTGCACCCATGATGTTCCGTAGTGGCTCCTTTTCTGACAGTGTGCTTTGACTCACATTTGACTGCTCTGTGCATCCCAGCCAAAGCCTTATCTGATCGGGTGGAGCTGAAACATTAACCATAAAACAAATTGTAATTCGTTTTATGTGAAACCCCAAGAATACTCATAAAGTAAAATACTTAAATAAATATAAGTAAATGTAAATATTTAAGAGAAAGACAATAGCACCATCTGTTCGTGTTCCATGACTTTTTATCCAGTACAAGGTTGTATTGAACCTGGAGCCTGGTGATTAAACAGGTCAGACACTGTGGCTCCACAGTAAGAAATTTGCACCCATGCATGAGCTTAAGGCAGGCAGGGTGCAGCAGTGTGGTACCTCATACAGTGTGGGACAGTCAAAATGACAATCAGTGTCCAAATATGCATAAAAAATAGAATGCAATTTAATTTGATGGATTTTTATATAGCGCCTTTCACAACAGTGTCGCCCCAAGGCATTTCACATAGGTGTGATGTAATACATTCCTACGTCATTTATAGAGAAAAATTTACAAAATATTGTAAATTATTTAAGAGAACAGCCCATCTGTTCGTGTTCCATGACTTTTTATCCAGAACAAGGTTGTATTGAACCTGGAGCCTGGTGATTAAACAGGTCAGACACTGTGGACGTCTTCAAGCTCTCAGTTCACGAAACCGCACGTTTTGGACAGTGCTGGGAAAGCCGCTTAAAATCGGGAGGAACATGCAAACGCTGCTGCACTGCTGGTGAGGGGGCGGCTGATCAGGGAGCCAGTGCTTAGTTATAATGGTTTACATGTGATGGAACATGCATGTTTGGTTACATGCCAACTATGTTAAAACCCGGAAGCGCGGTAAACGGCAGAATGGCGACCTGTCTCGGCACTGCAGGTGACTGCTCATACCGCTGAGTGAGTGCGCTGATAATCTCACCCTCACACACTCTTTGCCACCCCGGCAGAATTTGCAAGCCGGCTCTGCAGTCTGCATGTACTGTGAGGAGAGGAAGCTCGGCCTCATTTAATTACTGCCGTTCGTCGTTGGTCACATGTCACGCAGCGACTCGAGCATAAATAACCTTTGTAAAAGTGTGTTCCCCGTCGTGCAGTGGGGCGGCTGCCCTTCCTACATTCCTGTGTGCTTATTAAAAAGGGATGAAATGTTTTTGAAGCAGGATGGGTATGAATGGGCCGTGTCCATAGGCCTCCTCCCGCACTCACCTGCGCAGTCTGCACTCATGCCTGGGGGGGCACAAAGTCTCCACCTCCGCTGCATCTCACCTGCTGCTCGGGCCCCCAAGGGCTGCTGCAGCCTCGCCAGCTTTTATTAAGCATTCAGATATATGTATATCAGTATCACTGCGGACGCCTGCCCAGCGGCTGCACACCGGTTCCTAACTTACACACTGACTCTTAACTTTGCATGATTTTAATCACTTCTGTCTTCAATATTTTTATGTACACTTGTAATCTTGTGCATCTTGTGTCCAGCACTCTCAGACATTGTAACATGTATAATATATGCATTATAAATAGACACTGTAATGTAAATAAATATGTGTAGCACGTTGGTGACCCCTCCTGGCCTATAACTATCTCTGTATCTGTGTTCACCTCTGTCCTGAATCCTACAGATGCTCATCTACAGTCAGCCTGGTTTCTCCGGGAACGCAATCGAGGTGCGTGCCGACATCATCGACTGCACACCTTGGCAGTTTCCGGAAAGCATCTCTATTCGGGTGGTCAGGGGAGGGTAAGTGAGCTGGCTGCACACAGTCGGGCACAGCCGCACACAGTCACACACAGCCGCACACAGTCACACACAGCCGCACACAGTCACACACAGCCACACACAGTTGCACACAGCCGCACAAAGTCACACACAGCCACACACAGCCGCACATAGTTGCACACAGCCACACATGGCCGCACACAGTAACACACAGCTGCACACAGTTGCAGAAAGCCACACACGGCCGCACACAGTTGCACACGTCTCCTTCTCCGTGACTCCAGAATCCTGTAGTGTTACCTAGCAGATGTAGGGAAACGCACACAGGCTCTGTCCTTTGTGGGACTTTCCACTGTCACTTCAATGTACTTAATCAACAAATTTCCCAGAATTCCCAATTCTAGTATTTTCCACAGGAATCAATAAAGTCAGAGGCCTTGCTCAGGCCCTAAGATACCTGGAACTCAGCCCAGAGATTGGATCGGTCTGAGGATTCTCATACTGAGAGCATGATGTCAAAACATCTGAGCTAAACCAATCATTTGGGACTCATTCGGATCCATTCTGCACTTCAGCACCCAATACCTCACTGATTATAGCAAATAAAAAGTTTTGTAGCTAAAAAGTTTCCTCTAAAGTTATCTCAACGTCTATTGTTGAGAGCTTTTTATCACTGTTTAGATCTTTCGCAGCAGTAGAGAGACACCTGCAGACACAAACACGTACCTGCCACATGTTTAGAAGATTCACTTCACATAGACGCTCGCACTTCACAGCATTACGTCGTCCTGTGGGAATGCTGCTCTTTGGCCTTTATAATGCTCATGGTCCCTGGTACTGATAGGCAGGCGGGGGCCGCAGTCACAGGCTGACAGCTGAGCCTCTGTTTGTTGGTCTGGCCTGGCCAGTGTATCTCCAGCTGCACGCTGCACATTCCTCTGGCCCCTGAGCTAATCAGATTCCTGACTGCTTCCCGGCAGTGGAACCCTTCTAAAGCAGGTCGCTAGTTCTGGGTCTTCCTCGGGTGTGGCAGAGGCCTACTACCCTGTGTTTGGGTCACGACCGGCTCTCACACCTTACCCTCGCTTTTGGCAAATGCTCACCCTCCCGGTTTCTTCTGACTGAGAATTTTCCCTCCCTGCAGCTGGGTTTTGTATGAAAAGCCCAATTTTATGGGCGAGAAGATCGCGCTAGAGGAGGGTGACATCGAGCTGACTTGTCCCTTTGGCAAGAGCGCGGAGGGACCGCAAAACAGACAGGAAAATGGAGAGAGGAATGGGGAGAAAAGTGGGGAGAAAAACGGACAGGAAAATGGAGAGGAGGCTGGACACAAGGACGAGCAGACCGATAACGCTCCAGCGGAAAAGAAGTTTGTCATCGGCTCCCTGCGCCGGGCAGTCCGGGTAAGTGCTTATTCAAAAGTAAACACAGATATCAGGCATCAAACATCAGCATCAGGCATCGCCGTGACTAATTCCACATTTTAATTTTTAATGTTGATATTCACAGCTGCCCGTTGTTTTTATGTAATGAAAGTGTGGCTGCCACATGTTTAACCGTTAAGTGTGTGTCACTCATAGCAACATAACAGCACTGTTCAGACAGCCTGAACTGAGCCTCAGCACAGGCTGTGTGGGCGGGGCCAGCCTAAGGCAGAGGCGGATACACCCCCTGCTTCAGGCCCGGGAGCCACCGGGGGGGCCCCCATCTCAGTTACCTGTCAGAATGGGAAGGAAGATGACAAATGACAATTAGGGTTATTCAAATTTCGCTTTGGGCCCCGAAAAGGGCTGTGCCGGTCCTACCTGTGAGAGACATGTAACGGCACCAAAGGGCTGTCAAATTAAAATACATCTTATGCTGATGTCATGTTTGAGTCATGCATCACCTCCCTCATTCTGGCGAGTTCGCAGACATCGCAAACCTTAAACTTCCCCTAACGCCACTCCCCCAAACTGCATTCGCACCCAGGACTACAGTGTTCCCGAGATCTGCCTGTACCCCGAGGATAACGCAGAGGGCAAGAAGGTCATCTTCAGGGACACGTCACCTGATGCCCGTATTTTTGGCTTCCCGATCAAAGCAAGCTCTGTCATCATCAATGCTGGACTGTGAGTGATGGGATGGGATGGGATGGGATGGCACCTCCCGAGATCATGCTGGTGTAGATCCTGTTGGTGTGGCTTTGATGGTCACTGAGCTTCTGGTGAAGATCATGCTACTGTGGCTTTGATGGTCATTGTGCTTCTGGTGAAGATCATGCTGGTGTGGCTTTGATGGTCACTGTGCTTCTGGTGAAGATCATGCTGGTGTGGCTTTGATGGTCACTGTGCTTCTGGTGAAGATTATGCTGGTGTGGTTTTGATGGTCACTGTGCTTCTGGTGAAGATCATGCTGGTGTGGCTTTGATGGTCACTGTGCTTCTGGTGAAGATCATGCTGGTGTGGTTTTGATGGTCACTGTGCTTCTGGTGAAGATCATGCTGGTGTGGCTTTGATGGTCACTGTGCTTCTGGTGAAGATCATGCTAGTGTGGCTTTGATGGTCACTGAGCTTCTGGTGAAGATCATGCTGGTGTGGCTTTGATGGTCACTGTGCTTCTGGTGAAGATCATGCTGGTGTGGCTTTGATGGTCATTGAGCTTCTGGTGAAGATCATGCTGGTGTGGCTTTGATGGTCACTGAGCTTCTGGTGAAGATCATGCTGGTGTGGCTTTGATGGTCACTGAGCTTCTGGTGAAGATCATGCTGGTGTGGTTTTGATGGTAACTGTGCTTCTGGTGAAGATCATGCTGGTGTGG